ATATTGTCAAATTGTTCCTTGACTCGGTAATGGTATCGTATATTTGCCAGTCAAGCCAGATAATTCTGGCCAACTGCAATATTTTATGATTTAATTCAACATTAGCTTGCCCCATTGTTTTATGATGCAAAACCTCACTATCTTTAGATCACCACATACCACATGGCGATGGGCCAAAATATCCAACACTTAACGAAAAAATTGTCACTCAGGCTCCATTATTAAAATAGTTGGAACTGTTTCACTATTTATGCAATGTAGGTTCGTTTGTAAGCTTAAATGGGTGCAAATTTTAAACAACTTTTATTTTACAATTGATTTGCTTTGTTACTTCATCACACAGGAAACATTTGGTATATGTTTTATAGTAAACTAGCTGTACCCACGGGCTTTGCCCCGTTTAACTTCATAAGTATTCGCATGGCTCAATCACGTCCCGGTTGAAGTTCGTTCGCTACGCTCACTCACCTTTAGGTTGGAGCTCGTTCGCTGCGCTCACTTGTTTTCAGGTTAGCTCGTTTGCTACGCTAACTCGCCTCCAGGTTGATGTTCGTTCGCTACGCTCACTCACCTTTTGATTGCAAATTAGCTGTTGTCATAAATTTTAAAAGTAATCCCTTTTATTGTTTATAATACTTTGATAAAGGTTTTTATGTTTTAATATTTAACATTGGAGAATTTAAACGTTGTTAAGTGCACAGGTGTGCTGCGATTGGGGTTTAATACATTTGGACTTATTCAAAAGTAAAATAGTTTTCTGTGCTGCACTCTGTAGAAACACTGTGGCACTATTTCAAATCATGACTAATGCTAATACAGAATGTTGTAATTATTCAAACCTACAAAACAGTTGGTAAAAGTAAACATCTGCTTTTAAATTATATTTATTTGTAAACATTGTAGATCAAAAAGTCTGACATTGGCCCACTTAAAACCCTCTGGGGCAGAGCCCTTTTGATAGATCTGCACCAAACTTCACTCGAACCATCCTTGAAAGATGCTTAATAATGCCTGAAAGTTTCATTACAATCTGTCGAGCGGTTTCGGAGTCCATAACGTATATACATACACACACACATACATAGTTCCTCTTTTATAGATATAGATTAGAACTACACACATGATCACAAAACGATGTAATAAGTGTTGTGAAATAACTTTGAGTTTTGAGAACGCCGTATCGTACAGTATTCAAGTTAGACATATAAAAATATTTTCTTAGGGCGAGATTTATTTTGTTAAAATGTTGTTAGAGGACAAAATACCGCTCGAACTAAACACATTGAAATTTAAATTTAATTAGCTTAAAGCCAAAATAAAATATGAAATACTGCAACAAGTGATAAAAGGTATAATTAAACTCCCTAAGAATTTAATGAACGCACGCTTTAATAGGTCCTAAACCCCGTTTACATTAATAATCAAACGCAGCGGCCAGCGCTAGCCTGGCGATGCCGCTCCTGCATTGTAAAAGATGCAATATAAATGCTGCTTTCACTTTGCCTCGAGTGCCTTAAAGTAGTTCCCCATATTGTGGGTGCATGTTTTAACAACCTTTTATATTTTTATAAATTATTGTCAAATGAAAAAGTGACATTTTGAATCAGGTAATGTGGGTGAGACATTACGATTAAGTTATATGGTAGAATCTTTGAAGAGATAACAAATCTCATGTTTCATCAAAGCAGTTATAAAATTTCAACGAACACGTTTGAATTTTGAAACGGAAAAAAATCACACTTATCAGATTTTGGGTTACTTACTAATTTTCTGATTAGTCGTATCATTGCATATGAAATGGGTGAAACCCCTCAAACTTCTGTAAAATTAAGAGTAAACGTATTTTGAAAATAAAAGCTAAATGATATAGTATATGCAATAATTAGGCTAATTGACCTTAATTAGTTACCAACCCTTTATCTGAGCTAATGAATCAATTGATCTATTGTCTCCAAGACTTTACCTAAGAGAAGCCGTTCTTGTAAATTACTGCTTGTATTGACAGTCTGAATAGTTGGTACTCATTCCATTTTTAGTGGTTAGGTAATTTCCATGCACACGTAATCCGCAAATTTGTACCAACAACTTTCTAATTGTGCTATGGATGGTTTTAAGCGATTTAATACTACGCACACATAATATCAGGTTCAAGTAGATGTTGTAAAATAGCATGGTTGATGTTCAAAATATTTATTGACATATGTAAAAGATAAAAACATGTTCATAAAGGACATGAAGACAATTTTCAAACAAACAGTTACTTAAGGTCAGCACAATCATTGGTCAGTAAGTAGAAGACATTAGTTTACATATGAACAAGGTAGAAGATGCATTTTGAGTTGGTAGTTATTAGTATTGATCATTTTATTTTAGTTTTACGAATTAAAAAAACAGCTTGACGACTCTGCTGATATCTTACTATGATATACTAAAAACTAACATTACTGATTTAAAACTCACCTTCATAAATTATGCTTAAAACTATTGCATTACGTGTGAACCGTTTTAAAATCAATTGTTATATCCAAAACATCAAATATAGGTTACATATAATTTAAGAAAGCTGAACTGTGGTAAACAATATAAAAATAATAGTAAAAAATTGTTCCCACTCAATACATCTTCCACTTTCATCACACTTTTGTTGGGACTTTACACATACTTACAGATAATAGCTACACTTATATTGTCATATCACTTTTATATACACGGGATTAGCATAGATTTAGCACACACGTTTATAGAGTAGTTCAAAAATATATAAACACCGTACGATACATTTATAAAATCTAAATATCCGCGTTTTTAATGATCATTAAACAAACCTGTATCAGTGACACATCAGTAACAATAATAAAATATCAATATCTTAATGATGATGGATGGTTAAAAAAGTAATTAAATAAAAGTTATCTCTAGGAATAGTAACATTTCAATTCCTTGCACAAAATCACAATTCGGTTCTATTCTATGGTCCCAAAGTCAATAGTAATATTGGAGAAAATTTCTGAATGTTAAGTTGTTTATCTGGTGAAATGGAAGCAACATTAGGATTGTCCTTACCTTAGCAAAACTAGCTCATATATGCTTCTATGTCGATATAAATATCTAATAATGGTAAAGTTGAAAACCGCCATGGAAGTAAGTTAATAATAATCGGTGATTTTAATCTCCAAGGATTTTTATAAAGTAGATGCAACTAATACGCACAAAGTTTTAATCCAATGTGCAGATTCATATTTTTAAGGGAATAATATGTTTAAGAATATCTAAACGTATTTAGGTTAAACAGCAAGTTTTTAAGAAAAAGTTGGTATAATATTAACTATAGTATTGAAAAATTATTATAAAATAGTTTTGGAGAGTAAGGACACGTTAGTATGTGAGAACGTTACAAAAATAAGAAATTTATCGACAAATAATTTAATGAAAAAATACAAGTTGATACAAATTTACTACATTTACAATAAAATCGTAAACAATTATATGATTCCTATTCTACTGACGAAATATACAGATTGCATATCTATACATAGTTGTATGTATACTGTACACATAACATTTATTGTGGTATATGTAACAACACAATTACATCAATTTAAGTTATAAACGATATATATTTTTTTCGTGTATTTCATATATCTTTTTCGTTCTTAAGGCACAGAATGACATGTTAATTTATTTAGTTTTAATATGAGATATATTATAAGATAACTTTTTCTGCTTTATACTAACTGTATAGATTTTTATCGCAGTTATTCAATTTGGAGCACACAAAAAATAATAAAATGGTATTTAATTGCAGGCAATATGTTTAGAGTCAATTTAAAAAATCCAGCAACACAAAAAAACTTTAAAGTTTTTATTTAAACATGTACATGTATTAAAATTCTAAATCCAAAATTTTAAACGTCAATTTAAACTGTTTGGTTTATAAAAAATCCACCTCAAATATGTTTCTCCGAGTCCAATCTAATGTTTTTAAATGGAAGACAAACGTGTGCATAATCAACAAAATGTAGACAATGTTACATTAAAAGAGTCTCAATCCATCCCGTAACGAGTCCTTGTGGAATTTTACGAAAAATGTTTCTTGAAATAAGCTATCTATATCATGCAGACTTCAAGATAATAATCGTAAGGATAGCTTTACATTTTGTATTTTCTCATGTAATATTAATTGACCCTGTTGGTAGTAGGGTTTGCATCTTTTTATTGCGACTTTTCTAACGAAGGGTTAAAAGTATTATTGCTCAAAATATATTTTAGGCAGTCAGTTTAGCTCATTCGATAGCAAATAAACGATAAACACGTTCCTTATCTAAGATTATCTAGGGTCTTGATTTTAACATTTGTACATATGAATATTAACAAATTTTCTGAATTAAAGTAGGATTATTGGAAAGATTATTGATTTATGAAACCTGAGTAGAAAGCTATATACATGGATCGACATTCAATAGAACCCGTTTTCCCCATTTTAAACGTTAAAAACTTTTAAGAGTTTTACATATTTTTACAAAATTAGGCCTACACGATTTGGGTGCTGTAACCTTTATGTGTAGGAAAAGTGTAAGAAAGCTATAAAAATGAAGAAGGTAATTATTAATCAAGACCCCAAGCAGTTACAAACGATATAAAATTAACACCTAGGTCAGATACAATAATAACCTTACTTTATATGAAATATCATCTACTAAGATTGCCACCGGTGTCAATAATAATCAATGAGGTCGCTTCATATTTATGTATTTAAAAAAAGCTTTAGTCAATTCATACTATTTAATATTGTTGGCGTGTTCATAATAGTACAAGGTTATTTTATCAAGAAGTGCTTGTGTGTCATTGAATCGCATATACACTACTATGATTCGTCCGTTGTCCCTGGTCAACAAAAGTAATATAATGTACATTTAGTTAGCGATTGTTTACATATTACAGATCGGTTAGAGATGTAATTTTCTAAAAAAACACTACATTTCTCTTCGTCACTGCTTGAGAAAAAAAACGTAAAAATACGTTGAATGAAATGTAACAAAAACAAGTAGTTTGGTCAATTCCTGAGACACAATTTAATTTTTTAGAAACAATCCAACAAAAACATAGAGTGAGTGTTTTTTGAGATTGCTACGATTATAAATAACTTTTTGATCAGCATCGTACGTGTTATAAAATTACCTGAAAGTACAAAAATATGTCCTATAAAACTTGTAATAAATATATTTAGACACATATTGGGTGTAATGATGATTGGAGGGTCCAATCGAAATCGATCACCACTTACCATCTTTCATATGTATTTACCGTCTTGTGAGTATATGTGTAAATATATTTATTACTAGAGTTATTTGACCTATTTTGTACTTTCAGAGAATTTTAAAATTAAATAATTTTTCATTTAAATGTCAATAACCAGAAACTTTGGCTTGGCAATAATTCATAATACTTTATCTAGGTGCTTATATATTTTAAAATGTATATTATTCTTGCACGGTTTAACCGTTAAAGTAAACTAACTTTGAGGGAAACAAACTAGTACAAATGACTTCTTATGACATTATTATTATGGGCATTTTAAATCACGATCAGCAAAACAAAAGCCATCATAACTTTTAAAGATCTGATACTAGATTTAAAAATTTTGCAAAAGACATTTTGCAACAATCGTGATAGAAAACAAACAACCCTTATGAAATTTAGCACAAATTTGTTTTGAAAACTTGCACCGATGGCAATATATTGTGTAACCAGTTCACAGGACGTGGAGGTTTTCACAGTTTTTAAACTTGGAGTCTTCTTTGCCGAAGATCCAGGTGAACATTTGTCTGGCCTTCATGCTGGCTCTGACAACTCCCCGGCTCTTGTACCAATGACTCCCCGACTCCTTGTCGGCGTTCGCCCTCTTCATCCGGATCTGGTTGAGGATTCCCACGAGGAGTTCGTCTACGTTGTGGTTGATGCCGACGGAGATCTCGATGAACTTGGCTCGGTAGGTGCACGCAAGGCATTTGCCGTCTGAAAACCATAAATTCATTGAAATAAAAAGGTAAACACAATTAAGATGGTGAATACAGAATGTATTCCTAGGTAAGTTAAGAACGTTTTCCGAAATTATACTCCAAAAAATATATATATTGATTTGATAAATGGTTTTTCGTGTGGTATAGCTTAGAATTTTTTTTTTACCAATAACGTTTCGAATAATCGAACGTAAGGACAAACATATACTGATCTTTTCCTTTAAAGATCAGGTTGAAATAAAATATCTAGAATCCTGTTTAGGGCAAAACTAATTTCGGTTGGGTTAGATTGAGACCGAGGCATGACCTAAACCCTAGGTTGTGTATTGTTCATTTAAATTATACAGTGGTATTGTGTTGACAGAAAAGGTCCAGTGTTAAATTATTCTTTTATGGAATTGTTCGGTATTCATATTTTTAGAGTATTTAGAAATTAATCATTATGTTAATTAAGTCACTGGTTAATTAATCATGCTAATGTGTATATAAATCACCACATTTATTGTAATATTATTTAGTCTCAGTAACAATTTATTGTAAATAGACTCCCGCTTTCAATATTCAAATGAGATTGCTAAGCCTGCTCGAATTTCCCGCCACAGTAAGGCCTATTTTCCTGTACTACATACCCATGAATCACCTGACGCCGTGTTTGCTTCAATCGCATTTCCTATTGGCCATCGAATTCCTAGACCCCTCTAAACCGCAATTGCATTTTTCAAAGTGTGAAGCCGGCGATCGGCGTCTGTCTGTCCACGGTCGGCGTCCATAACTCACGGTGTATTCCGTTTCTCGTATCTCGGGACATTAATTGCCCATTTTACCTCTCTTAAACGTATTTTTAGGCTATAGATTAATTATATCTGGCCTCCCTCTCCTCTATAGTACATTTAACTATATATACATTTTAATTTCCCCCTTTTGTTTGTGATTAAATTACTTAAATTGTGATCTAGTGCTTTCAGACTCTTCAAACCTCAAGACAGTGTGTGCGCGTCCGTGTATTACTTCTAGACTTTCCGTACGTTTTCACCGCGACTTCCGCGTATTAGTGAGCTCTTTGTGATTATGAACTTGGGTGCGTTGCGTTCTCCAAAATTCTACAAAACAGAAGCACTCGGTCTAAGGACTCCGCCATCCGCCATCGCTCCACCATAGACGACGCCGCTGCCATACTCTCCACCTTTGGATAATTGGACTCAAGGTACAACCTTAAAGTTTTGTGTGTGTTTTAATTAGACTCTAAAACTAATCTCATTTGCCCCTCACAAGACATTTTATTCCATCTCGGGACCTCAGTGCCCTTCAAATTGCAGATTCGCCATTTTCTCTAATTTAATTATTTTTCTCTTGAACTATTAATTAGTTCTGGTCCTTCGAGTTATTAATTATTTTCATTTTTACCCATTACGCCCCCAACATTTGGTCCTTCGAGCCGGATTCATTGTCTAAAGTCCTGTGGTAATTAATTTCAGCCAATTTTCATCATCAACCATATTTTTAGCGATCTGCAATTTTCAATTTTCGCCATATTGGTAAAATATCGGCTCGCGTTCGTTCCGTTCGTGGGCGTGGTTTAGCAATCTCTCTCCACTCGCGCGTCTGCGCAGGTCACAATCATGTACAATTTGCTGTTCTCTCTAGTAGTAGACAATTTTTCCCTACTTGGCTTTTTTATCCCGAAAACGGGATTTAGTTTTAGTTGCGGGATTTAGTCGCGTGCAGACGGCCGACACTAGTAGCAGACGCATATCTCACACTCACTGTACAGCGTTTGTTGTTGTTTACATTTTCTCATTTAAGGTGTATTGTGTAATAAGGTTGATTGATATTATTAATAACCAACTATTAGGTTATTATTAGGTATTTACTATTATTCTTTGAATCAATATTGCTCTTTTGAATATCATACTAAATAAACAATAATTTGTCATTGTTATTTAACATTGTTTATGCTTTCTGAATTTTGATTTTAAATGAAGTAAAGTTAAATTAGTTCATCTCTGTAATTTTGGTTGACAAACGTGCGATATTATATTTAAGGTAATTTTATCTTGTCAACTAACATTTTAATAAATAGTTCAAAATAACCGTTTTTACTGGTTCTTATTACTAGTGTTGTACATATAAACAAAACTGTTAGCTAGCGTATTTGTATTGTGATTCATATTTCATTGATGGTTATAATTTTATGTTCCTTTCTCATTTATTAGGGTAATAACTTACTCTTTATGTTGCAATTCTTGTTTACTAAGGATTATTCTACACTGTTTCATTAATGAGGCCTACTCTCATTAAACTTATTTAGATCCATTTATTATTTTTGTAAATAACAGTGAACTTTCATGTGACTCATTCATTTGTTCTATCATATCTCTTGTTTTATTGTGCATTATTATTACCGTACTTGAATACTTTCAACTAAGCTCAATTGTTGATTTATGGTTTGAAAATCGAATTAAACCTGCCACACTCATTTAAAAATATTTTATTGCTATTTAACGTGTTGATAACTTAGTGTTTTTCACTATTTGCCTCAATTAAGCTACAAAGTAGGTGGATATATGTTTTAGATATTTATAATATTTTATCTCTATATTATTCAGCGGACAATTAATTACTACATTGTTAAGCTAATACCATTCATAGGCCTAGCTACAAGCCTTTTGTGTACCCATAACTTCCATTTTCGTGTGAATACTTTCAAGTGAACACTTCACAATGCCTCCTAAAGCATCTGATTTTAAGTCCGCAATCTACACCCGTTCTACGGCGCTGATTAAATCACGTTTTGAAAAACTTAAGGCTACAGTAGATGAATTATCAACTCAAATCGACCCTCTAACACCATTACAACTTAAGAAATTATCCGCTTACGCGTTGGAAATAAAAAAGAAACGCAGTGAATTTGAAAATAACCTTCAACGTGCCTTCGTTCTGGAAGATGAAGGGATCGATGATAAGACTCTTTCCAATGATCAAGATGCTATTGAAGACATGTTCTCTCACATTCAAGCTACGATTGAAACTCTGGTTCCCTCAGAACCACCAAAAACCCCTTCCGCGTTCAGTGAATCGTTTTCTGTTTCAGAAACTCATCCAAGCTCACAAGTACGATTACCTAAACTGGACTTACAAAAATTCTCTGGCGATCCATTAACGTGGACAAGTTTTATCAATCTTTTTGACACTGCAATCCACCGTAATGCTTCATTATCCTCTGTTATGAAATTCCAGTACTTACTCTCTGTCTTAAATGGAGAGCCTCTCAATTTAATAAGGAGTTTAAATCTCACCGCTCCTAATTATCTAGTCGCCTATGAATTGTTACGTGACAGATATCACAACAATCGAAGATTGCAATCATTGCATCTTAACCAATTGTTGGACCTGCCAAACATTACGGCAACTTCACTCAAAGGTTTGCGCCAATTTGTAAACCTGTTTACGGAACACACACAAGCTCTTAAGGCATTAAATTGTGACGTTAGTGACAACAACCCCCTATTGTCCGCACTCCTTTTGCGTAAAATGGACCAGGAACTACGTAAAAAACTTGAATCGTTCCGTTCCAGTCAAACCGAAGATCCAGTTACTCATTCATTACCAGAAATTGGTGAAATAATAAAATTTCTTAACCAAGAATGTTCGCAGACAGAAGATGCTAACATACATAACATGTCATCGGCCCACAGAAGCGTTCAACCTTCACCTCACAAAACCATACCAAAAAAGGTGCATTTCCGGTCTGACGTAGGCCTAGCCATGGTAGCTACTTCGAGATCTAATGCTCCCCCCTCTCATAGCTCTCAGACTAAAAATAGTCCTGTCTATAACAAATGTTTTGTTTGTAACAAAAATGATCACAAAGTTTACACTTGTGACGTATTTCAAAATAAATCTCCTCGAGAGCGACACGCCATTGTTAAAAAACATAATCGTTGTTTTTCTTGCTTGGGTGAACATAGCTCCAAAGAATGCCGCTCTCAGTTCACTTGTCGCACATGTAAACAGCGACACCACTCTCTCTTACACCTTGGTGATAATAATCAAACCTCTCAGATGTCTTTTCGACCTCAAGTTCAAAGAACTTCCCCGACCACTTCAGGTCCATCTCACACTCAGACTGGTGATGTTAATTCACAAGCCTCTATCTCCGCCACTGTCGCGGATGTAAGCAATTATTCTGCCCAAAATAACTCATGTACGACTTCGGGTAATTATACTGTATTACTCGGCACCGCCTTGGTCAAGTTGACTTCCCCTCAGGGTATCTCTCATGTGTTTCGTGCTCTACTAGATACTGGCAGTATGTGTGATCTGCTCTCAGAACGCGCTGCGAATCTCCTGAATATAAAACGCCAGTCTTCTCAACTCAAAATATCTGGTCTTTCTCAAATGGCTTCCTGTACTAAAGGGTCAACTTACTTGAATCTTGAAACTCTCTCAGGTCGAGCAATAGCCACTGACCATCAATTCCATATTCTTGATAAGATTTCCGTCGACTTACCTCGCTCCCCTATATCACCGGAAGTGCTAACAAAAATCAAGCCCTATGTTCTAGCTGATCCTACTTTTCACTTGCCTGGTGGCATTGACGTGCTTATAGGTAGTTCTCTGCTACCCCTCCTCTGGACTCATGAAAGTTACTCCCTCGGCACGCACATGCCTCATGTGATAGGTACTCATCTTGGCTTTATTCTGATGGGTAAAGCTCCCTGTGCAACTAACTCGGAACCCGTGTCAGGTTTTGCGATCTCTCTTCTCTCTGTTAGTGATAATTCACTACACTCTTCCCTGCAACGTTTTTGGCAACAGGAGGAACCCCCTCACTTCCAGGTTAAGTCACAGGAAGAGCTTCTTTGTGATGAATACTATAAAAAATCACACTCTCGTGATCAATCAGGTCGTTATGTTGTGCGACTTCCGTTCAAGACGGACCCCTCCATTCTAGGCCAATCTAGGCCCATTGCTGAAAAGCGCTTGTTGTCTATT